TTCCCGGTAGAGGCACGTGCCCGGGGGGTGCAGGCTCAGTCCCTGGTAGGGGGTATGTAGGAGGCAGCTGATCGATGTTGTGCTCTCAGTTGGTTAGAGTGTCATCCCGGAGGGTCATGGGCATGATTCCTGGTCAGGGCATATACCCAAGTTGTGGGTTCAATCTCCAGTCACCTTGTGTTTCTCTCTCACATCCATGTTTTTCTCTCTTTTTCTCTCTCTCTCTCCCTTCCTTTCTCTCTCTCTCATCTATAAAAAACATATCCTCAGGTGAGGATTAAAAAAAAAGTTCAACCCCTCAAGGAGCTATAACAATTATAATCATATACACACCAAACAACAAAGCCCCAAAATATATAAACCCCAAACTGACAGAACTGAAGGGAGAAATACTTAGGTTATACACAGGGTGAGGCAAAAGTAGGTTTACAATTGTATGTGAAACACAGAGTCCAAGAAGAAATCACAAGGGAGACTTTTTAAATAATTGGAGAGTATAGAAAATAAAACTTATAGGAACGCAGGGAAATTTATAGCTCTGAATGCCTGCTACATAAAAAGAATCAAATTACACCCAGCTGGTGTGGGTCAGTTGGTTGAGTGTCCTCCCATGCACCAGGAGGCCAATACAAAGGCATGCAACTCAAGTGAAAAATGGGCAAAGGATTTGAACAGTTATTTTCCAAAAATATACACATGAACAAGCACATGAAAAGATTTTTAACATCACTAGCCACTAGGGAAAAGCAAACAAAAACCACAATGAAATACCAGGATGAGTATAGTTTTGTTTTTGTTTTTTAACGAGAAGGTAAGTGGGGGCAAGGAGGTGGAGAAATTGGAATCCTTGTGCGTTGCTGGTGAGAATGCAAAAATAAACAGCTGTGTGGAAAATCGTTTGGTGGTTCCTCAAAAAGTTAAACATAGACTCAGTACTTGACCCAGAAATTTCACTTCTACACATACACCTGAAAGTTCTGAAAATAGGTACTCAAATACTTGTATAGTAACGCTCATTTAACATCGACAGGTTTTGCAACTAAGCAAAATGACATATAATGAAACCAATTTTATCATAGGCTAATCCTATATAATAAAAGGTTAATATGCAAATTGTCCTATGGGTGGGAGTTCAACAGACCCGGGAGTTAGACGTGCACTGACCACCAGGGGACAGTGTGGAACATGGCGGGTGTCGGCGACGCGGTGCTGGCAGCGGGCAGCAGTGGAGGTGCTGCTGCCCCCATGGGCCCCGATGAGAGCGGGACTGGGGCGGGATGGTGGAGCAGGTGGCGCCAGGCCAAGGCAGGTGCGAAGGGAGGCCCTGGCTCGCAGCCGGCAGCCGCTAGGGACCCTACCTGTGCACGAATTTTGTGCACTGGGCCTCTAGTTGATATATAAACAAGAGTGAAGTTCCCACAGCAAATCATCAACGTAAAACAAAACAACTTTGAATGAAATGATGTTATTGGAGAATATGCTGTACACCAATGTTCATAGCACTATTCACACAATAGGCAAAAAAGTGGAAACCTAATGTCCATCAACAGATGAATGGATGAACAAAATGTGACAGATTTATATAATGGAATATTACTCAGCCACAAAAAGGAATGAAGCCCTGACAGATACTGCAATGTAAGTGAACCTTGAAAACATTATTCTAAGTGAAAGAAGCCAGACCCAAAAGGCCACAAATTGTATGGCTGGGTGGGAATAGGAACTGATTACTTAAATGACTACCAGGGTTTCTTTTGTGGTGATGAAAATATTTTGGAACTTGATAAAGGTGGTGGTAGCATAAAATGGTTAGTTTTATGTTATGTGTACTTCATCTCAATAAAATATTTTTAAAACCAATAACATCCTTAAATGCAAAAAAAAAAAATTGCCAGTTAGAAAATACAATGCAAATCCACAGTCCCTTCACAAAGCAACAGAAAGCAAACTAGTTAGGAAAATTCAGGTGTAATCTATAGGACCTATTGTAATGTTCCTCACGAGGAACAACAGAAGTTGAAAACAAACGCGACCTACTTTGCTCCTGGGGATGGAAGCGTCCACCAGGGTGACGGTGTCGGTGCCCCTACTTAATTCATAAACGCAATGCCATTCCAAGCCAGGGTCACAAAGGACCCAAAGCTAGATAAAGTAAATGAAGCTAGTTTTGCAAAATAATGACGATAATCTTCAAACTTCTGAGAATGGAGCACCAAGCAGACCTCACTCGATACCACACTCCGCCAGGGCTGCAGCAACGGTGGGGCCACACAGAAGGGCCAGGGCTGGACACGGAACCGAACAGTCCGAGCTGCTCCCTCCGCGGC